AAGAGTTGGATGTCTTTTGACATCGTATGGTTTACCTAGAAAATCTTGGAGTGAAGCTGCTGTAACAGTAGCTTATCTTTTAAATCGAACACCCTCTATCCCCCTTAATGGTGAAATTTTTGAAAGTAAGTGGTTGGGTAGGCTAGTCGACATATCTAATGTTCGTGTGTTTGGGTGTCATGCTGTGATACATATTTGCATTGATGAATTTGAGATGAAAACTGAAAATTGTGTTTTCTTAGGATATGGTATTATGGGGTATAGATTGTGGTTAAGTTCTAGACCCGGTTTGAAAACTGTTATTAGTAATAATGTGACATTTAATAAATGTTATATCCCATGTTTGAATATTGGAGAATCTGGATTTGTTGATTATGAAATTATTGATATTAATACAGATTTTTCTAATATAGGAAATAAGGTGGAGCATAATTTGGTTGATATAGAAAACAGAGAAATTAAATCTGTAAAATCTGATTTTCGTTTTGAATCTACTGATATTCAGCATGTTGTTTGTGAATCCAAAAATGTGCAATTTATTGACATTTAAATTGCTGAGATTGATTTTGTAATTAACTTTATGTTGCTGAAAGGGTATCTGTTCTAAAAAACAAAAATTAAGAGAGTGAGAGATTCTGTTTTTAACTGTGATGATATTAATTCAGTTTCGGAGTGTGTTCAATCTGCTGATGTTGAAATTGATAATATCAAATTTGAGGAAGAAACTAATACTGTTTTTTATAGTGTTCAAAATGAGGTGGAGTTTGCTTTATATAATGAAACTGATATTTTTGTTGGTGATTTTCGAATCTTATCTAGTGCTGGCTAGCCTATTGTGAATAAATATGAAAATACAGTTTCTGAAATTTAAAGCAATGTTGAAATTGTTTCAAATAATAGTAATGAGATTGAAAATTACCTATTTGAGATGAGGTTAGGAATAGTCCTAAAGTGTTCTCTATGTTCGGTAATTTTGATTCATCTTCTTTACCTAGAAGTATGTTTGAGAACTTAGATGTGGATGAACCGATGAGTGATAGGAAATTGTATAATTCCGAAAGTAAGTCTCAATGTTTAGTGGTAAAAGAAGATAAGAGCTCATTAGTTGATAATTAGTGTTGGAAATCAGTTCCTAGGTTTTGTCATTGGCTTCTTTGCATTCTGTTATCATGGGTTTTGAATGATATGAAACTTGTGAAGTTTGCTACTATTGTTGTTTGTATGTTGTGTGCTACATGTTTTGGTTGTATAACACATTTACAATGTAATATAATTCTATCGAAGTTTGGATTTGGATGTATTCCTGCTGTTGTAGATACAATATTCTTGAAACTTGATAGATTTGTATCTTGTTTGAAAATGATATGTTTTGATATATTTGATTAGTTGTGTTTTACACATATGTAGATGGTAGGCTAAATTAATGTATTGTTTATCTAACTTGTTATTTTATTCTTTTTGCAGGTAAGTAATCCTAAAGAATAGGCGATGATGAACCCCAGTCACTCGGACGAAAAATCAGATGGACGATTTGTTGGATTTTTTGTCCATAATGATCCACCCTATTATACACAATACACACCTATTCTTTACGCAGCCTAAGAGCATTTGGCCCAAACCCACAACCCAGGCCCATGATCCGCTTACCTCTCTCTCGCCCGTGACCCGCGCCCATGACCCGGATGGGATCCGCGTCCCTTTTGTGAGGCTTGATCTGGGCCGTTGATTCTGGATCTAAATCGTGGCCATCCATTGCTTTGCCTTGAGTATATATATATTGAGAGAGAGAGATCGTGACTATCATTCACTCTATAATATTTCTCTCTCTATATCCTCTCGCCCTCTCTCTAGCTCTTCTCTCTCTCGCTCAACTTTTCTAGCCCTCCATTCCGACGACAATTTCTGGTGGTTCTTCAACAGTTGCCTTCCTCCTATCTGTAAAGCTCCTTGGCATGGTTGTTTTCCCCTGTGTTGTTGTGTTGAGCCGCAAGGGGCTCTCTCAATGTGCAGGCTTCTGTTAAGCCTTGTATTTTTTGTTTGTGGGGATATATGTTTTGTGTAGTGGGTTTTAGGCCGGTGCTTTTGTGTTCGTCGCGTTTGTTGGGTGTGTTGTAGTGTGATTTTGGTTTTCCGTGTTGGTTGGGGCTGAGCCTTCAAACCAAAACTAGTTCAAGTTTTATCTTGCTTCATTTACTCGATTTTTTTAATAAAATCGCTAGATCCGTTCGTAAATTTCATAACACATACGCTTTTAATCTATTATATTTAATTATAAGAAAAATGAACGGACTACTTTCTATAGAAAATATATTTTTAATTTGATTTTTAATGAAAAAATAAATATTTAATTCAATATATATATTTCATCAGTTCTATAATTAAATATTTATTTATATTTTGCACGGAATTTTATGTATATTAATATTATATTTATATGTAATAGAAATAAAGTAAAAATGATTAAAATAATCTTAGGGTGTTTAGGGTGTGTTTGTTTGGGTGTTTGGATTTTGAATTGAGATTTGAATAGTAAAAATTTTGAATTGTAATAGTTGTATGATGTGATATAAATAGGTATAGATGTGATGTTTTGAATGTAAAATTAATTTTTAGTATAATATAAAAAATAAAAAATAGGTGTTTGATTTGATATTTTTTTAGGGAAAATTTTTTATGAATAATAAGATTTTGGCAAAATCTTACAAACGAATTAGTATTGTGTGATATATATGTAATGACATTTGTGTAATATATTATAAATTTTAAGGATATCTCTAATGTTAAGTAGATAGTAGAATTGTTTTAAAAAAATATATAATTTGTTATCAGACAAATTAAAATAAAAAAATTATATAATTTATTAAGAGACAGATGAAGTATATTTTTTTGAAAAATTGCTTGTGTGCACTTCATATATATCTACAATTCCCAATATTATATCAACAATTATAAAAATATATTAAACCCTTCGTTCTCGAAATATATATATACATTTGATTGGCCATGAATTTTAAAAAAAATTGGATAAAAATTCAAATTTTTTTTATAATAAAAAATATAAAAAATAAATATTTTTACCAAAAAGGAACAATAATATTTTTTATAACAATAAAAAATAGTCATAAATTTGAACTAGATATAGAGTATATTTTTATAATATATATAATAATATAAAGAAAAACCATATTATTATATAATACTTTTAACTGTTTATAATTATTAACAATAAAAAAAATTAAAATTTCTCAAATACTAAAATAACACAGCCTTAATATTTATAAATATTATAAAAAATATAAGTCTGTTTGACTTCCAATTGTTTTTTCTTCAAACAATTTTCAATATATATTACACGAGTGCCTCTGTCCTATTTTAACTGACATATTTTTTTATTTTTGCATATAAATAATAATGCATATCTTTTTATTTTCGGTAAAACTTATTAAATCAAAATAAATTTAACAAATATAAATCAATTTTATTAACAGCATAATATATAACATTATACATTATATAGGACTAGTTTAAAAATATATACTTTTATCTATATTTAAAATACTACATCTTTTATAGAACTAGTTTATGTTAATTATAATAGATAATTGTATTTTTTTTATTTACTTATATTACAAGAAATTTTATTACTTACAAAATAGTATTCATATTGCATCTATTATTATAATTCGATTGTTCATGTTTACTGGTTCCAGTGGTCGATCAGCAGAAAGAAATGTTAAAATATTTAAATATATATTTTAATTTTTAAAAATTATATTTATTAAATTTATTTTAAAACAACCAATAATATTGTACTCCCTTCGTCCCATAACAAACTATCCATTTTTCCATTTTGGTCCGTCCTATAACAAAGTATTTATTTTCTTTTTTAGTAATTGTACTATCTACCTAACACTATATATATGCTTACAACTTACAATATATTACACAAATATCATTATCTTTATATCACACCCTAATAAGGTTATTTTAGTTATTTCTACTTTATTTCTACTATATATTAATATAATATTAATATACCTTAAACTACGTAAAAAAAATAAATAAATACTTATTTATGGGACGAAGAGAGTATATATATAAATAATAAAATAATATCATAAGTTACTAATATTAACTAATTTAATATTATTATCTTAAATACCTTGTCACAAAATATCAATTGAAAAAGAAAAAAATAGTATATTTTATCATATAAAAAAATATTAACTCTCAATATAAAATATTTATTAGTTAGAGAATTCTCTATATATCAAATAAAATAAAATATATCTCAAATCATTAAACAATCAAACATACTTTGATTTATAATTCAATTATTATTATTATTATTATTATTATTATTATTATTCAATTCACAATTTCAGTAAAACCATTATTTTTTTTTAATAAAATATTACTAAGTCATGGTTAAAAAAAATTCAAATGCAAACAAAAAGGGACCTCTTGATTTTAAAGTTGAGATTTAATCAAATATATTATCCATGAGTTTTAAATGCAATACTGAAATCTAGAACTACCGGGCCGACTCGCATTTCGAGACGGTAGGGTTGGATCAATTAATGACCAATAATAATAATATCATTTTAACTTTTTCAAATAAAACAATGAATATGTTTCGATTTCTAAATGAAATTTGACTTCAATCAGCAGCAACACTCACATGGATCACCCATTTTTTTAATTCCACACAAACAGCTCACAACTAGATTGTCCCAATTAATTTAATCAATTCCTAATCATAATAAGACAAATTCGAGTAAATAATAAGCAATATAAAATTGAAAAAAATAATATAAAAAATCACAACTCCGTAGAAAATGAAAGAAACTGACATCCTACCCTCCGCTAAAACCTCTCCCCAACCTTTTCTAATCACACAAAAAATGTAACTACTAATCAGAATTTAATTTTTTTTATTTTACGTTATTCCAAAAAAATAATAATAATAATAATGTAACTACTACATGAAAACACCCACCTTTCACACAATACAAAGATGCAGTTTTATTTCGACGAATTAAGATGTACAGTTCCAAAAAAAATTCCATGTGAAAAAAGAAAAGGAAATTTGATCATTATAATTTTGTTTAATAGTTTAATTAATTAATAAGTTAGATATTTTTCAGACGCTGACGGTGCAGGTCTGAGAGAGCTGATACTTAACTGCATTATTTCCGACGACGACTCCGGCGGGCTTGCCGGGGCTACCCGGGAGCGGAATGGTGACGGGGCAGGTGACGTGGAGGTGGTAGCGGCCGGAGACGAAGGTGGCGACTTTCCACTTGACGCGGCCGTCGATCTTGAAGTTGATGCGGACGGCGCCGGCGGACTGGTCCTGGGCGAGGCGGAGGCCGTTGTAGGGGGCGACGGGGACGTTGGTGCCGTAGATGAAGGGGGACCAGATGTTGAGGTCCTTGTGGCCCTGGTAGGTCGGGGGGATGACGGTGTAGTAGCTGATCTGCTGGTTGTTGTAGTTGGCGTAGACGAAGAGCTTGCCGTAGTAGACGCCGATGCGGGAGTTGGGGTTGCGGGAGAGGACGGTGATCTGGATGGTGGTCGAGATCACATTCGGGGCGGAGACGTTGAGGACGAAGACGGTGGCGTCCTGGACGCTGAACCGGGGCTTCTTCGGCTGGAGGACTGCCCAGACGATGAGGATGGTGAGGAGGGCCAGGAAGACCACCACCGCCACCACCGCCAGGCACGTGCGGACCGCCTTCTTCTTCTTGCTCTTGTGGTGGCTGCACACCTTTTCCGACATGGCCGCCCGCCAAGGAATGGCAACAACCAATGCACCTACTAGCTCAAGCTGAAAGAGATAGAGAGAGAGAGAGAGAGGAGGGGCTAGCTGGGAATGAGATTGGGCTATCTATATCTATCTATTAATACAATACAGGGTTGGCATATGCTCTCTCTCTCTCTCCTCTCCATAAATATCTATATATACACTAGGCTACTGGCTACATACAAATTTACAGCGCATTTGTTTTTTAAATAATAGAGTACATTTTATATTAAATTAAAGAATTAGGACAATAAAAATAAATAAGTAACCCATTTTTTTTTTCGTTGAAATAAAATTTTTACAATCTTATCATTTTTCATCGGAGATTGAGATTGTCGGTCTCAAAACAATCACGGTTCCACAATCTCAATCTGTTGTGATTCTCAATCATTCTGAACCGTTAGGGTGATCTACACAGATTTTCATCCAAACAATTACTGCCGATAAAACTCAAAGTTTAAGAATATAAAACAAAAATATATATAAAGAATTAAAAAAAAATTGCTCAATCGATGACGAAGGCTCAGATCGCAGCCACTTCTTCATCAACTCCAAGTTGTCCTACGAGGTAACCCATGAAGGTGTCGATTATAGTAGTTCTAATAAGAAGTAACCCAAGAACTCTAGAGTGATCCTCGCACACGCAGTGTATCATGACATAAAAATAATGAGAAAAATCGATAGGCATAGAGAGTAAATTCGTCGCTCACAGAAGAGAATATTGAACTGGTTCCGTGTTTTCTCCCAAAACCCCAAACCCATATGTATAGAGGAGAGCTAAATGGATAGATCCCAAAAGAGAAGGAAATAACCTTACCTTATCAACGGCCAAGCGGACTCGATCGATCTAGAAGAAATAAGGATAGCACGGATGAATTTTATCTTCTTTTTTTTATTTTTAATTTGATATATAGACATACGTGTTAGCTTGAATTAGAGATCAAGTTATCTCCAATTAAAAGCTTGTGGTTGAGATATATTGCATCAAGAAATGACTAAGCTACCTTGGATTACATGAGCGAGGTGACGATGGTGCTTTAACGGAACATATACTTATATCAACGAAGTATTCAGGAGAAATGAATGTGGTAATACTTATTCGTTTAAATATAATTCTTGACTTAATATATAATTGATCTTGAAAGTTATAAAAGAACGCAAATTCACAACTAAGAATATTATCTAAAAGAGAAACCATTGCAACTGGACATCTCCGGAACCCGACAAAATAAGCACGTATGAGTAGTTAATTATTACTATTTGTTTTACTAGTGACTTATCCATATGATACATCTCTTTAATTAGAATTAAATTTAGATCACTAATTAAGCAGGTCGACAAGGCTCCCATATACGTAATAGTTACAAACAACCTATACCCTATTAACAATGCGACGCATGCATAGGCACAGGCATTGATAGTTATTCCTTTATCTTTCATTCCACATTCTTATCAAGAATCGAATATAAAAGTGTGTGCGGGTCAAATGAACTATGAAAAATTATGATAAGTCTATTTTTATGAAAATTAGCAAAAATGTCTACATTTAGGTATTGAAAAACAACAGTAAATACGCCATAAAAGAATTTCAATGGCGGCTAAAGGAGTTCATGTGCGAAGAACTTCCAAAAAGTCCCCTAACCTCCATGCTAAACTATCTAATAAAAACTTCTTATAGTTTGACCTCTGAAAATTGCTATAAATAAATGTAAGCGAGTGTTACAAACATGAATAAAAAAATGAAATTTGGCCAATATTTATAAGCTTCAAGAGTGGTGGTCGGGCGGTTGATTTGACAATTGAAAAATAGTTGAAACAGGTGAGCAATTATGTGGTTAAGTAGTTGAAACCGCCATAACTCCAAGCTTCGAGCACGCCTTTTTATAACTTTGTTGGATTTAACATAGAAATTTCTACTGGCAACATAGTCATGCAAGACTCAGTGTCTTGAGGGAGAAACATCACTCGGGATAGAGAACACCTTCATTATGACTTTGGGGTGATTGGTATCTCTGTCATGCACTTCATGCTTACTGAGGTATGACCTAGCTTTACTTGCATATAGTTCACTTGTACGGGCGCAGTTTGTTGGCCTCTAGGACTTAGGTAGAAAACACTCTTCCTCAAAGAGTTTTTTGGACTGTCTATCTTTGCTCGTTCGCTGAATATGAGAAATTTTTGCTTGAACTTCACGTGATCTAAACTTAAACTTAGTAAATCTCATCTAAGGACAATTAGACGATGTCAAGTGAAATATAAAAATAATGTTTTTTATAAATCAAATATTGTGATAGTTTTCGACAAAAAAAGTAATAAACATGTTTTGAAAGTATAATTATGCTCAAATTTGGAGTTATCATAGTATAAAAAATGATGTGGCAAATTATGTATGGCTTAAGGTAAAAAAACAAACATCATAATCCTATAGGAGTGTTGCAACCACTTGAGATCCCGAGTTGAAAATGAGACTCAATTGCTATAGATTTCGTTATCGGCCTACCAATGAGTAAGGACAGGTTCGATACAATTTGGATTATAGTTGATCACCTTTCAAAGGTAAGTAGTTTTTCTATAAGTGATGAAAGATTGGTCGATGTAAGTTGGCTGAAATGTATGTGTCAAATGTGGTGAAGTGCTTTGTGCCAACTAGAATTGTCTCGGATAGAGATTCAAAATTTATGTCCCACTTTTGGAATGAGTTGCATTGTAAGTTTAGGAAGAAGTTGAACTTTAGCACCGCATTTCATCTGATGACATATGGGCAGGCTGAGTGTACTATACAGATGTTGAGGGATATTTCATGGTTTGATCAATTAGGTTTGATCAAATTCTTGTACAATAATAATTATCATGCAAGCATCAAGCTTACACCATTTGTCATACTGTTTGGGCGGCGATGTTGTATCAAATAATGTTGGGAGGACTTAAGTGATATAATACTTTTGGGGCCCAAGTTAGTTTGAGAAGATGATGCAGTATATTTGGACAATTCACTATCAGATACGAGTTGCCTAGAGTCGATAAAATGTTATGCCGATCAGGATCGACGATCAAGAAAGTTCAAGATTGAGAACCATCTATTGCTTTGAGCATCCCCAATAAAGGGTGTCAAAAGGTTGATTGGGTCCTATACCGTGATTGAGCATACTGAGAAGTTGGTATATTGGCTCAAGCTACCTAATAGTTTAGATATGATACACAATTTCTTCCATGTGTTTAGCTTTGGCATTGTATGGTTGAGGCCAAGATACTTCAATTAGACGAGGTATATTTTGAGGATAATATGAGCTATATTGAGAAACCTATTCAGATTTTAGATAAGGTATTGAGGGACAAAAAGATCCACCTAATAAATGTGTTGTGGCATTAACGTGTAATCGAGGAAGCCACCTAAGAAAAGAAGAATCAGATGCGTGAGCACTATTCCAAACTCTGTGGTACATTATATATTGAGTTTTATTTTCATGATTTTTGGTTGAACTTTTAGCATATATATATTGTACTACTTGTCATATTGATTTGGTATCTGTTGAAAAGCTTCTTGTATTTTCTAGAGGTAGTCAATCTCTGTGGGATGTTAGATGATGTTTGTGATTGTGATTGTATTTTGTATTATTGGTGGAGTGATCAAATTTTTGAGATGAAATCATTTTTAAGGTGGTTAGGATGTAATACCAAACTAATGATTGAGTTGACCCATTATGTATTTAATTTATTCAAATATTTTAAAGTTGGTTTTGTCAGTACATTGATTTTGAATGATTGCAGATTTTTTTTTTTTTTTTTTTTTCTGATCCATTTTGACTCTAACATATTTTTGAGTTATCTTTCAAATGGGTGTGGATCTGATGTTGATTGAATCAAATCAACATGATGCTAATTTGACTTAATCAACATATATAATAAAAATATATAGTATATATTTCTACATAACACAATATATATGCTATAACAAAATATATATTGTGTTATAACAATATATATTGTGCAATATATATATATAATATATATTATATACCTTTATTACATATATTAATTTGGCCAAATCAGCATCATATCAATTTGACCCAATCAACATGGGATCTTCCGTGCCTTCAAACATCGTGAACAGTGAGTCAATTGGAAGTCAAACAAAAAATAATAGCCAAAATAATAACAAAAGGTCTATTTATTCAACAATAGTATTTTTTAAAAATGTTAACACAATTTCACTTTGAATTTTAATTATAAAAAATCATTTGTACCTATATTACAACCTCATCTCATTGTCCAATCACTCCTATGAATCTATAGCAAATTCCCGCCACTTCTATTAAATTTTGAAGTGCTTTGGAGTAAGAATTGATATTGTCCTCTTTTATACCATTAAAATTCAGTTTTTCGTAACTTTGGTGCATTATCTTATGCTTACATTTTTACTTCATATTCTGATTTCTAATGACATATCATATAAGCTATTTTAAAGAGAAGTACATTTTATATAATTTTCTAAAATTACACACTATGTTTTTTTACGGAAAAATTATATAATGTGTTCGATAATTTTTTTGTTCTTCTGGGAGCTTTTTTTTTTGTCTCTTTTTTTTTTTAATTTGAGATAAATATATACATATTAGCTTTAATTACGGATCAATGTTTCTCCATTTTAGTGTAAAATATTTTTTATATGATTTTAAAAAGTTACATACTCTATTTTTTATGGAAGAACTATTAATGTGTTGGACATATTTTATGTTCTTCTTGGGGCTTATTTTCTTCTTTTAATTTAATTTAAGATGTGGATATATATTTATCTTTAATGAGACTAATTTTGCTCTAGTTGAGTGTAAAATAAAATTTTGATAATTTTTACAATAAAAACTATCATGTTTTAATGAACTATGTTAGCCATGCATTTTGAAATAATATTTTATGGTGGAATCCCAAAGATTTTTCAAATTTTTTAATTTTTCAAACGAAATTTCAGAATGTTACATTAGTTTCATAATTTTTTGACCAATAATGAATTTAAGGTGGATCTTTATGTGAAGTTGGACTAAGAAGCTCTTATTATTTGATTGTATATTGTAAGCAAATTAAAGGTGACTTAATTGTGCATGTTATAGGAGTAATAATGCACAGTT